ATATAACACTATATCGTCAACGAACCTTAAGCGTGCAGACCCTACGAGCTCGAGAACTATGTAGACATGACCGAGACACCTCTCCGGTCAATAACCAATAGTGGAGCCTGGATACCCATATTGGCTCCTACATATTCTACAAAGATCGTTATCGGTCGAACCTTATGACAACATATGTAACTCCCTTTGTCCATCGGTATGTTACTTGCCCGAGATTCGATCGTCGGTATCTTCATACCTAGTTCAATCTCGTTACTGGCAAGTATCTTTACTCGTTCCATAATACACCATCTCATAACTAACTCCGTAGTCATTTGCTTGCAAGCTTATTATGATGTGTATTACCGAGAGGGCCTAGAGATACCTCTCCGGTAGTCTGAGTGACAAATCCCAATCTCGATCCGTGCCAACTCAACAAACACCTTTGGAGATAACTTTAGAGCATCTTTATGATCACCCAGTTACATTGTGATGTTTGAAAGCACATAAGGTATTCCTGCGATATTCGGGAGTTGCTTGATCTCATGGTCGAAGGAATATGTATTTGACATTAAGAAAGCAATAGCAATAAATTGAACGGTCATATGCTGAGCTAACGGATGGGTCTTGTCCATCACATTATTCTCCTAATGATGTGATCCCGTTATCAAATGACAACACGTGTCCATGGTTAGGAAACCTTAACCATCTTTGATCAACGAGCTAATCTAGTAGAGGCTTACTAGGGACACGATATTTGTTTATGTATCCACACATGTATTTAAGTTTCCGATCAATACAATTCTAGCATGAGTATTAAACCTTTATCATGAATAAGAAAATATAAAACAACAACTTTATTATTGCCTCTAGGGCATATTTCCTTCACCTATAGGTTCGGTAAAACATAGACATGAATGAAACCCCTTCTTTCAATGACCAATAGCGGAACCGGGGACGTCCATATCGATCCCTATGATTGCACGAATAACATTTGAGTGAACCTTTTGTTATCTTGTGATGTTCCCTTTCCTTCATGATACATTACAAAACCCGAGATGAGATGTCTCAGTATCCTCTTGAGTCATACACATGCTCATTATACCAGTCTCCTTGTTGATGTTTTTGTTCTTCTTTCTTGTTGACGTGTTTTTGCATCACCATGATGTAGTCACCTGTGTCTGAGCAGACTATGATGGATGATGTCACACCGAGATGGCCCTAAGAATATCTCGAGCTATCATGTCCTTTGTCAAACTTTCGGATCGATCTGTAAGTTGTCGTTATGATCACCATGTTACACATGACGTTTGAGCAACACCAAAGCTCATCGTACGGTAAGAAGTGACTACGATATTCTCATGGTCTAAACAACTAAAACACACGTTAACACTGTGTGTTATAATAATTGACTTGTGACGATACCATCTCAAAGTATAACAGACAAGTTTGGGTCAATTCAATATGATCGTTCTTCTAACGTCATACTAAAGACATCCTGATATCTGGAAAATGTGATCACCAACAACACTTGAGCCAGTCTGAGAAAAGAGACCGGGAGTCTTATTTTACCGTTTATCATTCACACGTGCATATGAGTTTTTCACCGAATCAAATATTCCAAGATCATAGCAGTTATAGTATAGAATATAAACTCTTAGTTATGAACACGGAAATATAATATTATTGTCTCTAGGGATATTTACAACAAGATAATTACCACAATCCCAAATTTCAAAATATCAAATATATACAAACACATGCACATCGATCATCTTGGCCAAACAATTAGTGCACTAAAATACAAATTATTCGTATTTAAGAATACATAATACAAGCATAGTTAAAACTTAAATATTGTTCATAGTGCATAATTTATAAATTAAAAGCAAAGTTTACTGATTTCCAGTGTGGATCCACATATGTTCCACAAGATCATACAGAAGTTGCATATGGACATGTTGATCTTGCAGTTATCGATGCATCTCCAGAAAGTTGGCAATGTATTTTGCCTCTTGTTCCTGGAGGCGGAATTGAACACTGGGCTTCTCAAAATTATGAGTGCAAGCTACCCCTTCTCCCTAATCCTCGACAATCATGTTGTGCAAGATTACACAACATATCATGAGCTTGCCAAATCATTGTAGCTCCACAAACAATACCCTAATGAGCTTGAAGCACTCCAAATACCCTCGCCACATCCTTCCTACCCGTCTCTTACATCGTTGCAAAGTGGCTTTGTTTATTGCCTTGGGGATCAGATATGATCTTCACAAACACCGCCCACTCAGGAGTCAGGATAGATACCATCAATAAGGTAGTACTTGTAACATCCCAATAATCATGTATAGTAATTCTAACCTAATGATGCCATGTCACCATGTTTGTTAAGCCAAATTGCCACTGGATAAATGTAAAGTCAAATTAAAATTCAAAATGCAAGTCAAATTATTATTTCTTCAAACTGTAAAACTAAATTGTTCGCGTTATTATATAAATTCCCCTGATCTTTTATCATGTTGAAATAAACATCATTTGACTCGCCAAATAGTCCCTAGAAAATCATAACGTGGTCCAACACAAAATATAATAGCCATTTCAAAATTAAAAGAATATAATAATTTGATCATCAAGGTCGGGGTTCCCATAGCCATCATTCCACGATGAATCCATCGGTGACCTGGAAGTGGTGACCAAAAAATGAGAAGCACAGACATTTCATCGAACATGTACAACAGGTATATACACGGGAGAGTTGGACGTACCAGGGGCAGCGTCCAGTGGCGGCGACCTTGACCGGTTGTGGCACAGTCGGCGATGGTGTGGGTTGGGGATGAAGGCGGAGCAATGATGACGACGAAACTCCGATGGCGGCTATGCGGGCGATGGAGAAAAGAGAAGAGGAGAGGGTTGGTCGGGCAAGCGGGGACGGATATGGGTGAATTGGTGCGGCCCTTGCGATCAGTCCTACTTGGCGGGCGCATCCGGATGTCTCTATATCCGCCCTAGATATAGGTCGGGTATGAAGAGTGTCGGTCAGTCCAGGCGTTTGGACCAGATTAGTTAAGTTCAATTGGGTGGCAATTTTTCGTTCGAAGAGTGACCGGGCAGCCCGTCTGAGTGTTTGTGGCAGGTACTGGTCCGGTTGTAGATACTCTTACATGGGACATAGTCAAAGTGGTGCTAGCCAGCGAGCACTGCATTAAATCAATCAAATGGTGGAGGGATACCCATATATTCAACCAATAACATCTAAATCATTTTTGGAAGCTCAGCCACGTTTTGTATCTTCTCTTCACCTGCGCCGATCTATCTACAAGATGGATTGCTTTGGGTTATATCTGCTAATATAATATATTGCATGGCGACGTTCGCGGGGGTGGATGGATGGCATCTTGACCGCGTGGGCGGTGAGTTGGCGGTGGATCTCCTCCGCGCTGAAGGCCTTCTCCCGCTGCACTTGGTGGCTTACGATCACGATCGTCGGCCCCGGTGCGTTCGCGGGGGCTGGTAGAGGTGACATTGGACCGGAGGAAACTCTGGATGACTCTTTCATCCCGATGGTGGCGACGACCATGGTCACCGTTCTCCTACTTGCAGGCGTCGTCGAGGTCCCTGCCCTCTACCCCGACCCCATGCCCAGGTGAAAACCCAAAATCTCCTTAGATTGGGTGGCGGCGGCACTGCATGTGTCGTACCCTTTTTGGAGGCGCCGCCTGGGGCATGTGGGTGCTCGGTTAGAGGAACTGCAGGCGGAGGGGATGGGACCAATGGCAGCAGATGGTGTTCGCGACGGAGGAGCGGCGTGGCATCTGGCACGTCGACATCGGCGGGTCTCAGCGGTATGGAGCATCGGGGTCTCGCCGGTGGGCGTGTGATGATGGACGAGCGCAGGATGGTGGCGTTGTCTGGCGTCGTGGTGGCGTCGACAGCAGCTTGACCGGGCAAGGTAGATGCAGCAGTACAACACTGAAGATGGATTGGTGGCAGGTGGCTGCGGCAGCCTCATACCCGGCAGGCGTCCTGGTTGAGGAGTGCGTCGGACTGGTAGGTGCCCCATACCCGGCAGGCGTCCTGGTTGGGACCTGAGGTCTTAGATGTTAGGTTCGGCTGCGAGGTCTGTTTGGTATTAGGCCCAGACTATCAGCATCTCTTCATTAACTGGATAGGAGTGGCGACACATGTTACCAAAATGGTGGCTTTAGTCTTACTGTTGTATGACTTTCTACGGTCATGTGTGAATAACTAATAAAGTGGCTGTATGCATCGTCCAGATGCAATGGTCGGGGGTCCTCCTCCTTTTCTATAATAATAATTATTATTATATATTGCACTAAATCAATCAAATGGTGGAGGAATAGCCATATATTCAACCAATAACATATAAATCGTTTTTGGAAGGTCATCCAAGTTTTGTATCTTCTCTTCACCAGCGTCGAGCTATCTAAGATAGATTGATTTTGGTTTATATCTGCTAATATAATATATTGCATTAAATCAGTCAAACGATGGAGGAAGCCAACTAGCAACAAGGGCCCGTCCATATATTCAAGTATTCCACCACCCTTTGATTGATTTATATTGCAATGTGACCATATATTCAACCAATAATATGTAAATCATTTTTGGAAGGTCATCCATGTTTTGTACTCCATCCGTCCAAAAATACTTGTCATCATATAAATAAAACAGGATGTATCTAGTAGATACATCATGTTTTATTTATATGATGACAAGTATTTTCGGACGGAGGGAGTATCTTCTCTTCACCAACATCGATCTATCTACAAGATAGATTGCTTTTGATTTATATCTGCTATGATATAATCTATGATCTTTGGTTTGTCCTATATGCACGTGTAGAAGCCGCACAAAGCACACCACACGCGACTTCGTTGGAGGCATTCCACCCTCCATTTTAAGACAGCAGCCACAGGCCATCCCCGCTCCGCTCGGCACGTTTCGTTTGAAACAAGCAACAACACACACCGAGGCCGCTCTCTTACTCGGAGGAGGGAGTGATGGGCAGTCGGCAGAGAGTGGTCGCCATGCTGCTGCTGCTGGCCGCGTGCGCGGCGACACCGGCGACGGCGGAGCACAGGATCTACATCAACTGGCTGGCCCACAGCAACTACTCGGACTGGGCCAAGAGCCACGGGCCCTTCTCCAAGGGAGACTATCTCGGCACGCACGCACAAGGAATCAACGTTTCTTTTTCTCTCGTGATTTCTCTGGTTGATACGCTTCGTTTCATCATGCGCAGTGTTCTACACGCCGGACAAGAAGCTGGATGTGGTGGAGGTGAACCAGCGCGGGTTCGACATGTGCGACCCCAGAAACCCCATCTACCGCTCCTCCGGCGGCCGTGATATCCCCATCCTGCTCAGCGAGGCCAAGGTCTACTACTTCATCTGCAGCGTCGGCAGGTACTGCCCCGACGGGATGCGCCTCGCCATCGAGGTCCATGACATGCCGCGGACGCCGGCCTCCGCACGCGACGACACGTCCGGCGCTGCAATGGTGGAGAGCAACATCACCTCACCGGCGCCTGGACCCCGAGCGAGCTCGGAGAGCGAGGGAGAGGGGCAGGCAGGAGGACGAAGCGACGATGCTGTTCATCTGTTCCGGAAAACAACAAGCACGTTGGGCTGAGGCCCGGCCTGTAAATTAGGCATTTAGCTGAAAATTAGGTACTCATATAACCAAAATCAAATGGTGTTCTCAAAAAAAATGAGACCTAATGGAATAAAAGAACAAGTTAGAAAGTGAAAATGGATTAATAATTTTATGTCGGTAACTCATTTGTGAGAGAAGACTAATTTAGGAATGAACATATAAACTATTCCATTGGTGCAACAAATATAAGATGATATGAGAAAAAATCGAGAGTGCACGGGAAATGCTTCCACATTTTAAAACATACTTCCTCCATCCGTAATTAGTTAACCCTCGAAGGATTTATTCAGTGTCTGCTTAGTACTCCCTCCATTTCACAACGTAGTGCGCACGCGTTTTCCAAGATTCAAGTTTGACCATAAATTTAACTACCGAGACCGACCACGGCGGGAGCAAAAATTATATCACTGAATTCTTATTTTCAATATGAATTCGGTGATATAATTTTTGTCCCCGCCGCAGTCGGTCTTGTTGGTTAAATTTACGGTCAAATTTGAATCTCGAAGCGTGAGCGCACTATATTGTGGAATGAAGGGAGTATGAAAAACTACTTAGATACAATCGGTACAATCGGACAAATGGATAATGTTGGGATGAACCAAGAAAGTTTGGGTAGAGACGAATCTAAGTATTGGCTAGCTGAACGGCCCGAGAAAGGCAACAAAGCAAGTCAAGAGAATAGTTGAGACTTGGAGTGCGTGTAAAATACTTCAACTCTTTTATTAGCATGGAAATTATAAATTAAAACTATTTCAGAAGTGTTTATGTACGTAGCTCGTGAGAACGGTGGGCTATAGAATTTACAAAAGAAGTTCTTTAGGAAATGATACAATGTTCTGTTCGGAGATGTTCTTTTTTTCCTGAAAGAATTTGTAGCCGCCGTGCAAAATGTTTGATCTTTCGAACAATTGTTTCGTGCAAAATGTTTGATCTTTCCAACAATTGTTTCGTGCAAAATGTTTGATCTTTCGAACAACTGTTTTTGCACATACTAGCTTGTACAAAAAATCTTTGCTATGAACAGATGTTCCTCTATTTCAAGAAAAAAAATGTGGCATCATCACAAATGCTCTTGGAGAATTTCCCACGACGTTAAAAATGGAGAACTTCTTTTTTAGTTTCAGATTAAGGCCTAGTTTGCGGCTTCCTAAATTATGTCACCCCTAACAAATTTATAATTCCTTATGAAAAATAGGCATGAAGAACAAGATTGGTCAATCAAAAAATATATGTGGAAAGGCTCAACATGGAGTAAGGTCAGAAACCAGGACTGGGCTGCGTATGGACTGGGCTGCGGTCTGGCCCGTAAATTAGGCCCACCCATGTAAACCAAATGATATTCTAAAAAGTTGTCCAAATCGAAAGTGGTGAAGCCTTAAAAAAATCAGAAGTGCAAAAAATATGGCAGACATGGGAGAACTACCATCTCACAGGTCACAGCAGCAGCTTGGGGAAGGGAATGCCACGACCAAGCAAGACACCAAGAAACATTCGGTGGATGCAATCGCTGGCAAGGCTGACAAGAAGAAGCATGGAAAGAAAGGGGGGTTGTTTGGATCACGCCCAGGCCAACCCTGTCGAAATCCGGCACGCCAATAATTTGGCAAACGATTTCGTCGCCACAATCTCGCCAACGCACGGGTGTAAAAGATGAAACTGAGCGACCAATAAATTGAGTTCAATCCAAACTTATGTCGCTGATTGCCGATGGGTAAACCTGAACATGTGAAGCAGAGATATGCTCTCCTGAATTCGACTTGGTGTGCTGCCATAGGGTTCAGGAACACAACAAAAACATGATGCAGAGTGGCAATGATCAATTATCTGATGCACATTTCGGTGCTTCATATCGGCTTCGCAAAGAGCAGATCCGACGTATAAGCCAACTCCACCGCGCGACCCCAAACGGACGTCCGTTTTGTCCAAATTCTGTCTGTTTGGGTAGGGTAATGGGGTCGTGTCCGGATAGTTTTCGGGATGCGGTGGCCGTGCGTCCAGCGTGCGGATGCATCCCGGCCGCATCTTGTCCGTGTGCACTTTTTTTTGCAAGTCCTTAAACTTTTTTTCATCATTTATTTTTGATACATGTCAAATACATCATCACATTTTGACTAGTAAAGTAAGGCCAAAGAAAACAAGAACCACAAGAATACATTTGAGAAGATACCCAATTTCCATAACTGCTCCCTTGAGTTGGTTAGGGCCTTCTCGATGCACTCATTGTTGATCTGTGGAGGAGGCTCGACGTTGCATCCTCCTTTCTTCTTCAAGCCATAAGTCGACGTTGCTTCCTCACACGTAGTATCGTGCCTAGCCTCTAATCTAGCAACAAGTGCACTTGTCTCATCTACAGCCTCTAGGCTAGCTAAAAGTGCACGGACATGTACTAGATTTCGATCTATCAATATATCGATGTACTCTTTTTCCCAATACCAAAACTTGCATCCATTCTACACAATAAAACTTAAAGTTAGCACAAGTAGTCTAATCCAAGAGCACAAACCGAAGCTAAAAAGAGCACATACCCCATCCTTTAAGCACTTGATGAACACCCATCCAGGATACTCCGGCGTTGTAGACACGCGGCGCACGACCATCCTTGGGCAATGGTCGCACTTGATGAGGAGCAACGGTGCGCCGATGAGCTTTTGGGCAAGCACCGAGCCCGGCCGACCGCCATTCGTGTATCTGCCGGCGGACCACCGACGGTGCAGATCCGAGCGGCTAGAGGACGAGCCACTGCCTGCATGTGGCCTTGCGGCCCTGCCAGTGCCTTCCGACGAGGTGCCCGGCCAGTCCATGGCGCGGCCCGGCCTCCCACAACTGGGGAGCTCAAGACCGACCGGATCCGCCCCAAATCCGGCCGGCGGGTGCGCAAACCAGGTGGTCGTGGTGCGGTAGCTCGGCGGCGACGAGGGGAAGGGGCTGGGCGAGCGTGCGTCCGAGTTGCATGGCTGCAATGGCAGCGGCGGCGGCGGCAGCGAGGGGAAGAGTGAAGAAGAGTGGAGTAGGATGCGGCCGGAGGGAGGGAGGGGGGCGGATAGAAAAAGGCCCGTCCTGTGACACCGACGGGCGGGCCAGGGGAGGACACACGCAGATGGCCGGCACATTCGCGTGGTATCCGTTTCACCCCAAAAGCGGCGCAAACTTGGGCCGCGGATGGATCGAAAGCGGACACAAAACGGATAAAAGTCCGTTTGCTCCCGTGCGCTGGGCCGCCCAGTTTGTCCGTTTTACCCCAAACGAACGGGCTCGTACAGGATGGGATCGCGCGGTGGAGTTGGCCTAACAGTCTACTAAATCGAAGTGATAGAGCTAGGCTTTGAGAAACTACTCAACGGTCAACCCAATCTTTGAACAGAAACATCATGTATAGAGGAACATTGAGCGCGGCGATAACGGAAACCGACTGAACTTCGGACGCCATGGCGTTTTTTCAGAGTAAGAAGGATGGTAGGTACTCAACCGGAGGATGAACTGTTGTTTGATATATGGTTGGCTGTATCCGTGAATTTTGTAGAGAGGAGCAGAGGGGTACCTTGTGACAGCAATTGCATCAATCGTTCACGCACGTTATGCCCTACGACATGCACATCATTTAAGAACATAATGTGAGGTTGCTATCGTATCGCCGGTACACCATTCAGACCATCATTGTGAGAGCATCTACAGTCGGACTTTGCAAATCCGGCCCCTCAAACGTCTGCGGACGTGTCTGGGCGTGTCCGCGGACACTGCCGATCACGCCTCAAATAATGCAATCCACGTCCAGACACATCAATTATCATATCCCAAATCCATACAAACTCATGCAACTACGTCGACGCACACGCATCGTCCGGCTGCTACATCACACTACACTAAACATGTCATCGAACTACCAAACTTTGGCATGTTTGGCTATGGTGGAGATCATCCACGACTGTCGTTGCCCTTCCTGGTGCCCTTGTCGCGGAAGTACCGGTCCAAGATACAGTAGGGATCGAGCCAGATCTGCTCGTCCCCGGAGCTATTCTCGTCGTCGTTGTCCTCCTTCTCCTCCTTCGGTGGCAGTCCGGCCATGACACGGACCGCCCGATTCGGCTCTCGGGTGAGGGCGGGCGTGTTCCTCCACTGTCGTTTCTTCACAATGCGGGCGCGAATGGCTTCCTTCTCTGCGGTCGCCGGCACCGTCGCATCAGCCGCCTCTGCTGCCGCCATTTTCGCCGCGATATAGGCCTCAGCGACCCTTATCCCCTCCTTCCCACGGCGGGTTGCTCGTTCCCGTTGGGACTCATAGTCTGCCGACCGATGATGGGGAAGGAGAGATTGTTCGGCTGTCGAGACTGCGATGATCCAGCCCTAGAGGACCCGAGCGCCCGTTGAGCCGACGCAATGGAGTTGTGCCGGACAGATTCGTCCGTCGGTCGGGCTTGTCCTCGCGGGAGCGGCAGAGTGCAATGCGGACACCCTAGTCGACGGATCCGAACCGGTCGGAGTCAGATCTGCTACCCGCCATGCCGGATAAGGACGGAAATCGCTGGAGGTGAGCTCGGGTGGCGGAGGAAGTGGAGGGGAAAGGAGTGTGAAGTAGCTAGGGTTTGGTCCGGCAAGCGGATGAGGACGAATATATGTGGGGTAGAGTGGACCAACGTGGGCCTGGTCCGATGTGGCAGACGCGCCCGGGCGTGCCCGAGCGCCCCCATATCCGCCCCATATTTGGGCTGGATATGAGGGGTGCCGGTTAGCCCGGGCGTTTGAGGCCCGTTTGAGGCATTCGTCTGGGTCAAAAAATCATGACCGATTAGTGACCAGGCGGGCCGCCCGGACATTTGAGGAGGGTTTGGGACGCCCGGGTGTAGATGCTCTCACGTGGTTGGTCAGTTCGAGCCAAGGTGGTCATTGAACGCGGCAAAGGGGAAGATCCTAGGTTTTGCTTCTTGTTCAACTTGTTTAAATCATTCATTCGCTCATATGTAGCCCGCACGGCCGCGCGCGTTGCTGTAATGTACCACACGATAGAGGGATGGATGAAACTAAAGGGGCAGTATGAGACGACATGATCCGTTGATGAATTACTTGTTGGACATCCGGTTAATCTCGTTGAATTTGAGACATTATTGTACTAGACTTATTTGCATGCTATGTATGGATGATTTTTGCTATTTTCTATCTGAACTTTCATGAATATCAGTCGGTTTGCATGAATGTCGTCCGCTTAGTTTGAACCGTGGTTTAAATGAATGCGGACAACGTTCGATGGCGGTCTTATATCTGTGGACTGATCCCTCTGTCCGAAGGCGGATGCGAGAGAAAAATTCTGGATTTGGAGATGCCATTACATGTTCATATTCATAGCGGTGCTAGCTAGCGGGCACGCAACTGCAAGAAATAAATTAATCAGGCGGTGGAGAAATAGTCATACCAATAACATCGAAAACCGTTTTGTTGTGTAGTCCATCTACAATATGGATGATATGTTGTGTAATGAATCAAACGGCGGAGGCGTTGGTAATCTATCTAGATCTATCCTGTGGATAGATCGGCGTTGGTCTAGATAGATTGCTTTTGGTTTATATCTGCTAATATATGATCTTTATGTATGCACGTGTAGAAGCCACACAAACACAAAGCACGCCACACGCGTCCTCGTTGGACGCATCCCACCCTCCATTTTAAGACAGCAGCCACGGCCACAACCATAACCCCATTCCCGCTCCGCTCAGCACGTTTCGTTTGGAGCAAGCAACAACACACCCCGAGGCCGCTCTCTGACTCGGAGGAGGGGGTGATGGGCTGCCGGCAGACAGTGGTGGCCGCGCTGTTGCTGGCGGCAGCGCTGGCCGCGTGCGCGGCGACACCGGCGACGGCTGAGCGCAGGGTCTACATCGATTGGATGCCCCGCCATAACTTCTCCGGCTGGGCCAAGCTCAATGGGCCCTTCTACAAGGGCGACTACCTCGGTACGTACAAGGATCGACGTTTCTTTTTCTCCCGTGGTTTCTCCGGCTGACTCAATCTGTGTCATCGTGCGCAGCGTTCTATCACCCGGACAAGAAGTTGGACGTGGTGGAGGTGGACAAACGCGGGTTCGACGTGTGCGACACTGGAAACCCTATCCACCGCTACCCCGGCGGCGGTACTCGCCGCGGCACTACCTTCGTCCTGCTCAGCGAGGCCAAGTCCTACTACTTCACCTGCAGCGTCCGCTATTTCTGCCCTGCCGGGATGCGCCTCGACATCCCGGTCCAGGAAAGGCGGCGCGACGACACGCCCGGCACCGCCATGGTGGAGAGCAGCGCCACCTCACCGGTGCCTGGACCCCGAGGGAACTCGGAGGGCGAGAGAGACGGGCAGGGACGAGGACGAAGCGACCATGGAGTACAAGGAACAAAATGGGCAGACATGGAGTCCCCCAGGCCCGGCCCGTAAATTAGGCGTCTCGTTGAAAAGATACTCATACTCATATGGACCAAAGTTCAAATGATGTTCTCAAGTAAATAGACCAAATGAAAATAAGAGAACAAATTAAAAGGTGCAAAATGGATCGTTTTATGTTGGTAACTCATTTTGTGAGAAAGAACAATAATTTAAGAATGAATGTACAAACCATTCCATCAGTGTAACAAGTATAAGATGATACAAGAATAAAATGAGAGTGCACTGGAAATACTTCGATACTCTTAAAACATACGTAGTTGGGACTTAAGAGTGCGCATGAAATACTTCAACTCCTTTATTAGAATGCAAATTAACACCATTTCAGAAATGTATGTGCATAGCTCGTGAGAATGGTGGGCCGTAAAATTTACAAGATACACGTCCTTCAGAAAAATGATACTACAATGTTTTGTTCAGAAATGATTATTTTCTGAAAGAATCTGTAGCTGCCGTGTAAAATGTTGATATTCCGAACATCCTTGCACGAAAAATCTTTGCTATGAACAGACATCCCTCTATTTAAGAAAAAAAAAATGTGATATCAGTAATGCTCTTGAAGAAATTTCCCCATGAGGTTAAAAATAGAAAAAAAATGTTTTGAGGTTCAAATTAAGGCCAGTTTGCGGTTTTCTAAATTATGTTACCCCTAACATAATTATAATTTCTTATGAAAAATAGACATGAAAACTGAAAAGGATTAATCAATCAAAAATATATGTGGAAAGGCTCATTCGTTGTCATATAATCCACCATAATGTGAAACCAATATGAAACTTGTTGATTTATGTTTGTTTCCTGTAGAGAAGGACAAAAAAGAGAGACATGGAGTCAAGGTCGGATCCACGCACGAGCTGGGCTGCGGTCTGGCCCATAAATTAGGTTCACCGAATGTAAAGGAAAAGGGGACGAAATGGAAATAAGGTAAGAAATCAAAGGTGGAAAAGCCCTAAAAAAATAAGAAGCATCGAAATGAGTTCAATCCAAATGTATGTCGCTGGTTGCCGATGGGCAAACCTGAGCATGTAAAGCAGAGAGATGCTCTCCTGAATTCGACTTGGTGTGCTGCCATAGGGTTCAGGAACACAACAAAAACATGATGCAGAGTGGCAATGATCAATTATCTGATGCACATTTCGGTGCTTCATATTGGCTTTGCAAGAGCAGATCCGGCGTATAACAGTCTACTAAATACGTAGCAATTATAGAGCTAGGCTCTTTTCTTTTTTTGCGGGGGAAAGCATATCATTTAATCAACCAGGGCCTTACAATCGTTTGAAATAATAATACTAACCTCCTTTGGGGAGTTTGCTAACCAACAAGCAGTGCGTTGGTGACTACGACATAGAGCTAGGCTTTGAGAAGCTACTCTCAACGGTCAACCCAATCCTTAAACAGAAGCATCATGTATAGAGGAACATTCAGCACGGCGATAATGGCAACCGACTGAACGACACGGAACAGCCTCTGGAGGACCGTCCTTATTTTCCATTTGCTCGGGCGAGGCGCCTTCCCTCCATCTTCAGGCGGCGTTTCAGATCCCATCTCAACATGAACAGATGATGAATCAGGTTCCTGTTGGTGCTTTCTCGCAGTTGGCCTTGCCACAACATTTCCTCTGCCATGAATATTAGAGATCTTTCAGTTATTATTAGTAGAAGCACCAGGCAAGTTTCCGTTCGACAAAGTACCTAAAAGCATTACCCAAAACAAAAATACACACATACCGTCCTGTAGCTTTGGAGTCTGAGTTTGTGATGGGGGGCCTTGCCACTGCTTTTTTAACCAGGTGCATGGATCCCTCTGCATCCCAAACCATTTCATATTCGCCATCTTCCGCGTCATCTTTTTCTTTGCTTCTTGGAAACAGGTCAGCACCCACCGAACTCATGAAGCTCACAAATGTGTTCACGTAGGGAAGAGAGCTTAGACCATTTGTTGGCCAAAACATCAGCAGAAGGACGGTAACCACAAACTGAAAGATATACCTGCAGAAACAGCAGGCACAAACAAACTTGTCAGACAATTCAGTTGTAGTACATCTCTTGCAATATAAGCAAAAGAATCAGCAGGTGCCTGCTATAAGCATTACCACATATAGATATGAGTTTGTTTAGGCAGGAAGCAAAGATTCGTCAGAACCTCCTGACTAGAATCAGTAGAATTTCGGGGCCCAGCAGATAGCAGCATAAAAGATGGATACAGAATTCCTTGCTGCCAGCTTATTGTCCCAAGGGTGTGCTGTTGTGGCATTAACAGCGCTTAGATGCAACGCGTGGTACATGCAGCAACAAGATAACTTAAAACTTATGTTACCTCCATTACTGGCCCAAAAGGAGTGGAGTGGACAACTGTGCACTGGTCGTGGTCATGCCCTGAGAGCACAAGAATCTGAAGACAAGTCAAGATATTTTCAGATGTGACTCAAATCTCCAGAAATTGCAAAAGAAGCTTACCGGCTTCAGCAACCCTAGCAAAAGATCGGAAGTCTGTTTACTTAGATAATTCTGATACCTGCATAAAAAACTTGCGTTAATTGTATATGGCTTTGCCCTATGTTGACATATGGAGAAACTTCGGTTAGGCAGCGATTTGGACTGGTTTAACCAGAAGTAATTTCCAAGAGAACACATAGGGCAACACTCAACCAAGAAATTTTGAAAGAACTTTGGTTGCGCAGCTAATCACATTAGCAAATCTTTTACCAAGAAGAATGTCGACAAGGAGTTCCCAAAACAAACTAATACTTGAGTGAGTTCAGTCACATGTACCAGACAGAGAGTTCAATGATTCTAAGTTTACCAGTCAAATTGTCACAAAGTTTACATGCTATGGTAGTCAAAAGCAGAAAACAACAATACTTGAGGAAGGACATACTTGATTCCTTGGTCCATAGGAGCACTATATATCCTCTGGAAATGTAAGAGAATAGAATCAATCAGCTAGAAAAATATGTGGTTGGTCGAATTGCTTGCAGAAATTCAAATACAAACGTGTTGCAACTTGCAGAATAAATTAGTGGATAGGCTGGGGCACTGATGCTACATATGACACAGACTTATCTTCATTGTATATGAACAAAAAGCATAGGGAAGGTATAGAAATTCCTTTTTACTTTTAGTTAGCAGAGGAAAAACACTTTGAGAGAACATACCTGATTTATAGCAGGTGAAGAACGATGTGGGCCACACGGAGTATTGTCAGGTCGGTACAGGGGAATGTGCGTTAGTAGAATCTTTGGATTTGATTCATTACCTTAAACAAGATGTAAAAGTAGTCAATTCTCTGATAGTAACTGCAACACTATGCATAATCATCTATTCAGTGCCGTACCAGATGATAGTGTTTTGATGAACTCCCAAGAAGAGGACCTTTCTTTGCTCTGTTTGGCTCCTCCTGAACAGATACTAACAGTTCTTTAGCTATACAAAGCAGAAGCATGAAAGGAAAAAAAAAGGCAGCCCAATGCATGTAGCTCCCGCTTGCGCAGGGTCCGGGGAAGGGTCCGACCACTTTGGGTCTATTGTACGCAGCCTTTCCCTACATTTCTGTAAGAGGCTGTTTCCAGGACTTGAACTGGTGACCACATGGTCACAAGGCAGCAGCTTTTACCACTGCGCCAAGAAGCATGAAAGGAAACTACAAAACAATTTACTCTTATTCAAGAACCAAAATCTGGATTCCATTGCGCTACTGATGTACGATTCCTTTCTAGTGCAGTTCACTGTAGCACATACAATATAAAACTATGGAGGCGTTGTAGCATACCATCAAGAGTTTGAGCATCAACAACAACAAAGTCCACCTTCCCAGACAAAAAATGGAAGTTTCTAGGTCCAAATTCTTTTTCGTATCGACTGATAACCTGCAAGAAAAGAATAGCAAACTTGTAAGTTGTAGTATACCAAAAATTTATATTCTCATATATTCTATGCAGTCACAGTAATGTTACTATATAAATTTGAGGAAAAACTGTAGGCCCAAGATATAACATATTAATATAGAAACAACATTTACAAGAGACAGAGACCAGGAATGTACAGACAACTATATTTACAAGCCAGCAATCTAGGCAATCAAAAGTTATGAAAGAGAATCAGTGCAGTTTCAAAGAAAATTCATATACTACTACTTAAATCTAAAAGATAAAAAGAGGGACTTCTTTTTAATAGAGATGAACCCAAGACTATGGTTAGGGACATTGTCAAAAGTTTGAGCGTTCCATTGTTTCCAAATGTGCCATGTTTGACATGATGAAAATATCCATGCAGGTCATTTTGAAAAGTATTAAGTCCATGGATCATTTTCTACTCCAGAATTGTAGTTGCCACCCACTATAAGTCAAGCTTATGCTCGCAGGCAAGGCTGAAAGGCAATCAATGAATAGGTGAACTCACTTTTCATGCGTGCCATTGTTGCTAATAGCGCAGAAAGAGTCTTTCAACATGTTGATGTTTCCGTTGGATGAGTACATCTCGGATGTTTAAATGAGCACTCAGAAATGTGTTGTTGTGAATGACGCAAGAAGTGTCTACAAAAATGTTGATGTTCCTTCAGATGAGGATGTCTCTGGTGTTAGACAATCACTTAAGTAATAAAGAAAAAACGTCCAGCTTCAGAGCACACTTGCATTTTCAGATCATCACAGCTTAGCGGGTAGCCTGAGTTGCAAAACATATGCGTCTTTGCCGGACTTTCCAATTGGTATTTCTTGAAGCTTGTCAAGCTTCTTCATAACTATAAATATCAGGTGGAAAGCCTTGTATACAAAATATGATTATCTGTAATTTCAGTCAAAACATGTTGTCTGTAAACCTAAATTTGAGAAATAATTCCAGGTCAAACGAGGCAGACTGAGTGTCTTGAAAAGTATGCTCATAACATTTCTTGAAGCTCGTCAAACTACTACATCAGTCAAATGTATCTATATCAAATATGTTTATCTATGTAGTTCCAGTTACGTATGTGGACAGTAAATCCAAATTTGAGAAATA